TGGCGTTTTTTCTCCTGGTAGTGGGGGTATTCCTCCTCCTCTTCTTCCAAGTTTCCAATCTCTCTTTTCTTGCCGAGGGGGATGGTATTCGGGTTTACCCAAGCGTTCACCTTCGTGTGATGCCCTCGGGGAGGCCCCTGATGAGAAGGTCCCTCCTGCCGAGGGCTCTGGACAAATTGGGACAGGTGCCCTGCTTGTATTAACCTCTCGATGGCCGTCTTCAGCTGATGGCAGTCATCGGTCCTGTGCCCCTGGTGCCGATGGAAGCGACAGTAGGGGAACTGAGGGTTGATAGCGTGTACCTCCGGGGGTGCGCGAGAATCGCGCTCAACGAGGCCCCTCTCCTCGGCAAAATCGAGGATGATGCTGACGGGGTGCGTCAATGGGGTCCGAGGGCGGTCCAGGAGAATGGGCTGGGCCCAAGTCTTAGGGTTGCTCCTATAACCTCCCCCGGGCTTGGCTTGGCCTTGCCGAGGGCGGTCATCAGAGGGTCCCGAAGCCTTGGGGCGATTTGGAGGAGCCCCCGGCCCTCGGTTATGCTTGTTGTCAGCTCTCGGGGGCTGCTGGTCCGGATGCTGGTGATACTTCTCCACCTCCTCGGCCTCAGCATATCGGTCCCCCCGCTGCAAGGCCCTTATGTAGTCGCGGGGGGGTTCAATGATGAGGCTCTTTGAAAAGTTGCCGGTGCGGAGGACGGTTTGTAGGAGGGCCAGGAGGGTCCCGTCATCAGCGTCGTCGACCTTGTCGGCCTCCGTCCTCCAGCGCTCCAGGAAATCCCGAAGGGTCTCATCCTTCTTCTGACGTATTGTTAGGAGGTGGGAGAAGTGCTTCCTTGTGCGACGCCTCCCGGCGAATTACGTCAAGAATCGTTGGGCGAGTTCTTGCCACGAATCAATGCATCCCTCGGGCAGCCTGTTGAACCATTCGTATGCTGGTCCCTCTAAGGTGGAGAGGAACCATCGACACAAATATTCGTCTGATGCCCCCACCATCATCATGCTGTTCTGGTATTTGCTGTAGTGCTCCTGGGGGTCCGTTTTCCCGCTGTAGGGCTGTATGTGTTGCCCTCGGTATTTCTCCGGGATCCGGGCCGCCAATACCCTTGGGGTAAATGGCGTCCGAGTCCGGAGTTGGATGACGGGTTCCCCGGAGCCCTCGGCCACCTTCTTCTGTAACTCCTCCATTTTGGCCATCATGGCCTCGTATTTGAGATCTGAGTGAGGGGTGGAGGTGGTGGCGTGAGCTTTGTTGGACTCCATTTCGTCAAGCCGGCGCTGGAGGGCCGCAATAATCTCGTCCCGGGGGTCCCTCGGGAGGGTCTCCGCCCCCTGCGAATGAACCCGGGCCGAGTGGGCCTGGTTGATTTGGTGCCGAGCATCATCGGCATGAAGGGGTGCCTTGCCTTTGTCCCGAGGGGGACGCTCCTCGTCTGCCCTCGAAACAGATCCCCCGCTTTCCTGGGGCCTTTGAAGTGCTTTCCCCCCGAGGCGGTCTTGGACCCCTCGGCGGTCTGGCCCTCCTCCGAGCCGGTTGAGGGCGGAAGTACGGGGCCTCTCCCTGTTGTCATTATGGCGGTCCCGGGATTGAACTTCCTGGGAGGATGTTTCTTGGGCCACCACCCCTTCGTCGTTTCTCACCCGAGGGGTGGGATTTCCGAAGGGGTGTGGCAGAGGGGGAAATATGATATTTTCCCCGATCTGAGGGTGAGCTGGAGCCAGGGTGCCGAAGGCACCCGGGTTCTGGGTGAGCGTTTGGATGAAGGCGGAGAGCGCCGATTGTACGTCGATGGTGAGAACCGGAGGGCTGACTTGGTCATCGCTCCGGTTTTTCTTCTTGGCCTCGATGCCGAGGCGGGCATCGGGGGCGTTTTGTTGGATCTGAAGGCGTAGGTCGACAGCCGCCTGTTCCAGCCCAGCGAGGACACCGCCCTCGGGAGCCCTGTGAGAGGCTTCGGGGGCGTTGACGTCGCCGAGGGGCAGGTTCTTGTCTTCTACGTTCTTTGAGTTGGCACGCGTTGTCCTCACCATTTTGATAGAGGGCTAGTGTTTTGTGTTTGGTCGAGGGGGAGGGTTTCTTACTCGATTGTTCAACCTCTCAACGAGAGCACCAAATGATGGATAGTCTACCCGGGGGTATATATCCGAAGGGTTATTACGGGGAATAACTTAGAGAGAAGTCAGAGCAAACAAGTAAGAGAGAGAGAGTGTGTATTCGATATGTATTCAGCGTGGTTACAAATGGGGAAATGGGGTGCTATTTATAGTAGCAATAAATGCCGGGCAGGGACACGTGTCAAGCGCTCATTGGCCGAGGGGTCACCTCAACTGGTTGGCGCTGGCAGCCGCATGTGGCCGCATTTAATGCGGCTGTTGGACGGGACGTCTGTGCGGGGTACGGTGATCTGTACGCATGTGAGGCAGATATCTTGTCGAGTGAGATGCCTTCGGCTATAGAGCAGTAACCGAGGGCTCCCCCGCCCGATGGCACCCTGGTGCCGAGGGCTCACAGTGCCGAGGGCTGCTGTTTTCGCCGTTTTCTCCCAGTTTCCTAATTTGCTTGAGAAACCCGCTCTGTGACAATTTGGAGCCTTCGGCCAGGGGTCCGAAGGCACCCCTGTGCGTTGTGCGGACTGCTTGGTACTCTGGGCGCTGTGATTTGGGCCTGTTGGGCCTGTTGGGCCTTTGCTGGAGTAGTAGGAGTCTGTGGGCCGGGGGTTCCCGGGCCATATACTCCATCAACTATTCATATGAGTAAAAGGGGCATGATATACGAATTTAGAATAAATTGTGTATGATTATGTGGCATGAAAGGGATGACATGATAATGGAATTAACTATGTAAATATTGTGATAAAATATACTTTTACTTCATGTATGAAATTCATGAATGGATAAAAGTGATATTTTTGATATTGGGATCAAATTATATTGGATTGGAAAATCAATTGAAAAAAATGTCAATTTGAATTAAGAACTTGATATGTTCTAAGACTAACCTACTAGTATTAAAATATTAGTCGGGAGAGTAATATAATGGAATTAATCCTAAGGGATAGGATGGGGAATAGACTTGCCTTAAGTAGTCTTAAGAGATACTTTAAGGTTGAATGGTATGAACACTAAGGTGTGTTAGGGGTAAGTCTAAAGGCTACCCAAGTGGGTTGATTCTAGGCATAGGATTTGCTTGAGAATTGGACTATGAAAATGAATTAGAGTTGGACTCTAGGATGGCATGGAAATGTAGTTGGGCCGAGCCCTTGCCATGTAATGTGATTAGCATGGAAACGTAGTTGAGCCGAGTCCTTGCCATGTATTTGTGATCTTCGTGGAAACGTAGTTGGGCCGAGCCCTTGTCACGAAGTTGTGGTTGGTATGGAAACGTAGTTGGGCCGAGCCCTTGCCATATAATCTTAATGTGTTAAATTGAGTTGAAGGGTTGTATAGAAATGTAGTTGGGCCGAGCCCTTGCTATATAATCGTGACTCAAGGGAACCCTATGGGGTTGGCGTGACTAGTAGTCACGGGGGATTAAAATGGTGATTTCAAAATGAATATGTGCCCACGGGCCGGTTACTTGGCTTTATATAAAGTAAGTACATATTTATAGAAGGAGTAATCGAGGGTTATGGCCTATAATGTAATGTCACCCTAGATTGAGGGTATTTGAAATTGAAACATTGATTATACTTAGTATAGTTGTCATTGTACTTGTCAAATGCTTCCAAGTACTGACCTCCCCTTCACGGGGGAGGCCACCTCACAGTTTCAGGTAGGAGCTGAGCTTGCTACCATTGGCTGTGGCTTTCGGGGAGATTCTAGGAGAGAAGACGTGGTTCGTGCTTCCTCCGTTTTTGTTTTAAAATGATTATAACAATGCTCATGGATACTATTTTTCGAATAACTATTTGGAGGCTTGTATGCCCATGTTTGCCAAAGTGTGGCATAAACTCTTATATTAAATGTTTCCGCTGTTTTAAATCAATGGTTTACATTATGTTTGTTTATGGATGTACTACGTGTGAATGGTATTCAAGACGCCTTGTATAGTATGGATGAGTTGGACTGCGGTTGACTATTCGTACTGTACGGCGGGTTGTCGACGTGTCCGGCTAGGTCCGGGGCGTGACAACCTCTCTATGGGACGAAGAGAGTATTAAGTTATTATTAGAGGCTCTCAATGAAAGCTCCAATGTTGGTTCAAAATAGGATGCTCGTAGGTATTTAGGAAAGCTACGTTAGACACTCAAGCAGGAATTAGGATAGTAGTACGGAAATGAAAAGTCGCTAAAGAGATTTAGTTGCTAGAAATAGTCTGTCTGCGTTTGAATTACAACTTGTCTTTTATAGACGTATACAAATAGTAACTGACAACTACAATAATGACTTATTAGTTACAACATTAATACGAATTTAAATACATACATAATAGCGCATTAACGGTTGGCCGTTACTCTTCCTGGTTGGCTGGTCGGCCTGGCTGGCGGGCCTGACGCTCGAGCCCCCTGGGTGGCAGGCTTCCGCTGGGCTGGAAGGCAGGGTCCCTGCTGGGCTGGAGGTAGGGTCCCCACTGGGCCGGGAGGCAGACTTTTGGTTGGACCGGTAGGCAGGCCGTCTTCAGGGGCGTAGCTAGGGGAGGACCACCCCTGGCCCTGGCCCAACCCAAATTTTAAAACTGTCTATATTTTTAGTGTAAAAAATTCCGTGTAATTTTTTTTAAATATTCTTTGTACCGGCCCAGTCTGACCCAGTGCCCTGGCTCCGCCTCTTATCGTCTTGGGCTTCCGCTCTGCTGGACCTTCGTTCTGTTGAACTTTCGCTCCTCGACGGGATTGATCGGTTAGGCTGGCTTGAGATCTAGGTTGCTGGGCCCACTGATCGGGTTATCCCGGTAAGATAATGGTCCTGGGCCCGAGCGTGCTGATCCAAGTTCTGAACCTGGTCCCATTAGAGTATTAGACTATGGGCTCGTCCCAACTCTATCACAACCCACGCATGAGTGTAAGAGATCAGCAGTATTTACTATTTACCGAGGTAATAGGAAGTTTTGAATAATTGAAAGTAAAAACAAAAAGGGGGAGGGCGAGAAGGAGAAGAAGCGATTGAGTCCAAGCAGGCATCGCCTCTTACGTCTCCTTTTCTTCAATTAAACCATAACTTAAGAAACCTCCCGACTCTCTTTTTCTTCTTTATCATAACACCCGGAAGCGAAAGAAACCACAATCTGAAACCCATTCGGAACTTTTAGATTAATCAGACAATCTGATACAGTGATATCATAACTTCACAAAATTTATCTATTTTTTATATAGATAAATATTTGCCTTTTCGTGTGGGGTTTAATTATATTATAGTTTATAGTGATGATTTGAGCTGGGCATTGACGCACTCAGTCGCACAGTGATTCCTTTCTTTGGCAGGTAAGTTTCACACAGTCTCTTTCTTTCTCAAGTTTTATTTATAGTTTGTTTTTGGTATACCTTTTGTCTTGATATGTTGTTTTCTGGTAGTTTTTGAGAGATGGACTTGTTTGTGATGTTTATTTTTGTATGAAGGCGATAGTAGTTTGATTTAGTTACGTTGGGGTTGATTGCTGTATGAGCAGAGGTTGAGGCACTTTGCTAGAGTTTTTGCTCAGGATTTCTGTCATAAACATTGGGTTTTCCTCGAGTACTTTTGTATTTTACGAAGTTACAAGAAAATTTATCACTCCTCAAAGGAAAGTAATCAAGGCTTGTGGGTTCAGATTCTTTCCATTTTGAGTTGCAGAGGTTGCACATGAAGTGATAATATGATATTTGGGGTATTTCAATACAACACTATTGGATTGCTCTCCACTTTTTCAAAAAGGAAAGTGGGAGAGAAGGTTGATGAGAAGGAGCAGAAGAGAGGAGAGGGAGAAAAAAGCAGTTAGGAAAAATGAGACGATTAGGGCAAAAAGAGAAACAAAAAAACACGGGTCCGTCACGGGGTGGAATGAACTGAAGAACTATGGGGCTTGCTATTTCATTTATAGAATTGTGGAGAATCTCTTTTGGATGTTATTCTGCTCCCTCATTTTTGAACCTCAACTAGTGTCCTTTCACACACATTTCCACACACATGGATATATACGATGATACTTAGGAAAATGATGAGGAAAAAAAGTGACAAAAAGGAAACGAGGCCTCCATGGATATATACGTTTGATGTAAAGGTGATGTGATGCGTTGAAATATAGGATCTTGCTGTTTGTCAGTTTTGTCAATACTATTTCTCATTTTTTTTGTCCCTATCATTACTCTGGCAAATGTATGACACCTTACATATTTCTTCTTCAAACATTTTGACTTAGTTTTAAATTACAAACCATCAGTAAATCTTGAAGTAGTTCTTAAAGAATGTTTTTATCATATCAGCGACATGCCTTAATTTCCGCCAGTATGCAGAATGGACTTGCTTAGGATCAACTTATACAAATGATGTTTAGTGGTTCGAAAGCTGCTCATGGTCTTAACATATTCAAATGGAAGTGGCGTGGTGAATCATCATTAAGTACACGACTACTTGATCACATTCCTCCCGAGATTGAGTTGTCTGACTATCACAGAGCACCAAGTCCAAGTAGTGAAAGTCCATCGGGCCTTCTTAATGATGAGAGCTTTAAGGTTGAACATATTTCCGATCTAGACCTCTTCTTTGAGAGGCTATACTGCTACTACTGTGAAAAAGGTCTATGGTGCATCATCATCAAATGGGTTTTTGAGCTTTTTGGCCTGGCATTCACCATTTGCTTTTCTGGATTTTTCTTACTATTTGTTGATTGGAGTGGGCTTCGAAGCGCCAAGTGTGGGATGGATGCTGTAGAATCTGGGATAAAGCCTTGTGATCTGTCTAAGGAAGCTCTTCATCACCATCCATTGTCTCCCTTCACAATTTCTAAAGCCATTGTTGTTGGTTACCTTGGCATATTTTCAATATACTGGATCTTTTGCTTTTTAAGATTCTTTGCTCAGCTCAAGAACACCTTGATAATTCGTGACTTTTACTATAACAGGTACATATTATTATATTAATATACTATGTAAGCATGTAGTGCATCGTTATTCTACCTAAGACAAAAACAGTGAGGATTCCCTCACTCCCATTTGTTTGATAGCTACATTTTTCTTCTTATTAGCCCTACCCTTCATTTTTTACCACACACTTTGTTATTTGAATGCGCTCACAGAATTGGTTAATACTTAATAAGGGTAGCGCTGAAGGCACCTTTTTGTGTAATGTTGCTGAATTGGTCATATGAGACTGTTTTAACATATATTTTTCTTCAGTATATCAATAAAATACTCCCTCCGTCCTGTATTTAGCTTATTTTTATGGGTCAAAATTGGAGAACTACTAACCATATAAATATATATAACCATATACTCCGTATATAACAAAATACTATCATGTGAAATCTTGTTAGATTTGTCTCAAGATGTATTTTCGATATATCAAGTTTTCATGGGTTTTAAATGATATGCATTTAATTATATTAATGGTCAAATGTGTGCACAGAGAACATGGAAAAGCAAATGGGAAGCTAAATAAAGGTCAGAGGGAGTATTTTTTCACAGTTCCGTAATTTCAGGCTAATTCACTCTTTCCACAACGGACTGGAAGTTTTTCTTGTATGCTTTATACTTTGAGACACCATACCACATACTGCTAACCAGAGGGTTGCAAAATCTCAATCCTTGTGCTGTCCCCTAACTTAGCTGTGCTTTGTATTTTGCAGTCTCCACGTCACCGATGATGAGATACAAACCATGCCCTGGCCATCGATTCTTGATAAAATTGTTAAATCACAGAATTCACAACAACTATGTGTGAGCAGAGATCTTTCGATCCAGGATGTTGTAATGCGATTGATGAGGAAAGAAAATTATTTGATTGGAATGGTCAATAAAGGAGTTCTTGCCTTTCCTATTTCTCCATGGGTACCTGGTGTCGGTCCTGTCAAATTTTGCGTAGATGGTGTTCAACATCGTCTTATACTAACAAAGACCCTCGAGTGGACACTGAATTGGTGCATATTGCAGACCATGTTTGATAAGTAAATCCATTAGACTAATATTCTTGCTGTATTGAAATATTTATTTTATCAGGATTTGTAAGTAGAACATAATCTGAGGAGCTAATATTCGGTTTAGTACACCAACTGTACAATATTACTCAATTTGGTTCTCAACTTTCTTTTGGACTCAGTTTGCTCAACTATTCAATTTAGGACCAATTTAGTCCTTGTGCTTATTTTTCCCTAATTAAGGAACATATTTTATAAACTGAGGACTAAATAGTCTTAAATGTGTCTAAATTTAGTGATCTGACAAAACTACCCATTTCTGTTAAAACCAAATATGTATGAAGATTAAACCCAAGTCTACATTTAAGAGTGGAGCCGTGGAGGGCACAATCTATTCAAGAAAAGTTAACTCGTACACTACTAACAAAACTACCCTTATGATTTTGTGTGTATGTGCGTATGATGGTGGTGGGGTACTAAACTGAATGCTTTTGCCTTCTCTGCAGAAGCTATTGTGTACGGAAGGATTTTGTCTCTGATCCTAAAACATTAAAGAAAAGGCTTATGATTGTGGGGATTGCAATGTTTTTGGTTTCTCCATTTCTTGTGATATTCATGCTGGTTTATCTCTTCCTGAGGCATGCTGAACAGTTTTACAATCATCCTAGCACGGCATCATCTCGTAGGTGGTCCACGCTGGCCAAGTGGATATTTCGGGAATACAATGAGGTATCTTTTAATCAATTTTTCGTATAGTTGTGATTTATAAGATGTTGCTTTGCTATTTTAAAAATCTGGTCTAGTTTTTGGTAGTTTAAAACGTTTTCAGTATAAGTTATTTTTACCATTTACACCTCTAATAAAAGTAATGGACCTACTTATTACCTTTTGAATAGGCAAACAGTCCAATCTTATAACATAATAATCAGGGCTGGAAATTAAACCGATTCTAATACTTTTCAATCACATGCCCTAGTCGAAGATATTATAATTTTCAAACTGATTAGCATTACTAATCAATGCTATGTTGGCATTTATAATTCTTATGTAACAGGTTGACCATCTATTTAAGCACAGGATGAACACCAGTATAGTACTTGCATCTGATTATCTGAAGCAATTCCCCTCTCCTATTATATCGTTGATCGCAAAGTTCATCTCATTCGTTTCTGGTGGATTTGCTGCTGTTCTTATCATCATTGCTTTCCTGGATGAATCTCTGCTGGAAGGCCATGTATTATACCCCACTCCCTCTTTATTATAGAAAATTAATAAATACATCCATATATGGTAGGACTAGACTGTGTATTATTGTAACCTGTTAAATTTAAGAGTAAATGTCTAATTTAGTGATTTTAGTCCCTCAACTATATGCTATTTACTCAATAGGGTTTTTGACTATGCAATCTGGATACAAATTTAATCATCATAAACATTTGAATTTAAACCAGTATGGTAATTTCATCCATTTACCAAATTATGACCCAATTTCATCCGCATAATGAGTCCAACATTTGAATTTAAACCAGTATGGTAATTTCATCCATTTACCAAATTATGACCCAATTTCATCCGCATAATGAGTCCACTGAAAAAAAATACCCATCTTAATTAGAGCAAAATAAGCTCGAGGACTAATTCTTAGGTCAGAATTGCACAGTCGATGACCAAAGGGAGTCCAGAAGAATGTCAATGACCAAATTAATTAATAGCATATGAGTTAAATTCCTTCACTGTTAATTGTGGTAGTCCAGTGATGAAGAAATTTGTTTTGAACATTACAGATTTTTGGCCGAAACTTGTTATGGTATGGTGCTGTTTTTGGAGCAATTACAGCCATAAGCCGTGCTGCAGTGACAGATGAACTTCTTGTGCATAGTCCGCATGAGGCAATGTCACTAGCAGTCCAACACACACATTATATGCCTAAGAGATGGCGGGGGAAAGAAAATACTGAAGGGGCCCGCTCCGAGTTTGAAACTCTATTTCAGGTGTCCTTAATTGGTTGATTCTCATTTTTTTCTTTTTGCTAGTTTTGGATGTTAATGTTGATGGTTTTACCGTTCTTTGGAGGTTTGGCCAGTTTTTGTCACTACGTGATACCACTTTGCTTATCTATCCTCTTAATAATGATCTTAAGACGACATAAAACCTTTTTGGTGTTTGGTTGGGTGGAGGGAATGGCTTAGACACTTGTTCACCTATTAAAAACCTTTTATAATAGTTGGAATTTGACATTATATGTGATCGTAAAACATTTGAATAACCTTTTATTTGCTTTTCGATATAGACGCATATCAATCACCTATTACTCGATTTTAGAATAATTTGATTCATGAGGTAGACTAGACCTTCCGAAGCTCTCTATCCAAACAGACCCTTATTTTGTTACTCAATGGACTTGGATATTTGTGTTATGCTACTACCTCCGTCCCGTTGAAAGGTTCTTATGACAAAATGGCACGGTTATTTAGACAATAATAAAATAAGGTAGTTCAAGACTTCAAGTATATTTTGAGAAATTATTTTAATAGGTATATAATATAATGGGGTTAATGTTGATAACAGTGATGTTATAAATGTATTATTTTTAATATTTAATTATTAATTTGTCATTTAAAATTGTTAATTGTTTCCTAAAATGGAAATAAGAATCTTTATATGGGACATCAAAAAAAGGAAAGTGAGAATCTTTCTATGGGACGAAGGGAGTATTAGATAATTTTATACAGGGGTGATCAAATTGGACACTATGATTACATGTGAATCTCATATTGCTACTAAGGTTTCATGTGGACCAAATTGGACACTATGGTTACATGTAGGGTTGGCATTTTAAACCAAAAAACCGAAAACCGAACCGAAAAAACCCGAACCGAACAATAAAAAAACCGAACCGAAACCGAACCGACTAAAACGGGACCGAAAAATTAATCGGTTTGAAGTCGGTTTTTGGAGGTTGAAAATCGGTTTAAACCGAACCGACTTTTATTAAGTGTTATTTATTTATATTTTCCGCAGCTATATACGTAGTAAATATATTATAAGTCCTTTTTTTAACAACTTCTCGTAGCAGTCCAGCGGTTTAGGGAAGACTCCTCGTTCCTTGAATTTTTTTTGCCCACCCATGTTCGATTCCCATCTCTGCGCCTTCCACTTAATTTTTCTAAGCATTCGAAATTTTCCCACACCGGATGAAACAAGAGATGTACTCCTCCTACGTCCCTATATAACTGGCCCTTGGGTTAGCAATTGAAATAGGTGGCCAAGACTCTGTTTCATTGCCACCATTCAGTCAATATTTCGATTTTTTTTAAATTCAAGCTTATATGGCCCATTTGAAACCTTGGTGTCCAATATGAGATTCGCATGTAAACATAGTGTCCAATTTGGTCCATTTGAAACTTGTGTGAAATACGAGATTCACATGTAACCGTTAGTGTCCAATTAGATCTTCTCCCTAAAATATATTTGTACTAGGTGATTGTACTGTTGTGATATTATAATTTTTATTTTTGTTGTTATTGTTATTATTAATAGTTTAATACCATATAAGCAGTACACTGGCATGATGTTGCTGGAAGAGATGGTTTCAATCTTTCTTACACCCTACCTACTTTTATTTGTTGTTCCGAAGGTAATTTATTATTCTCATATATATTTTTCTCAAAAGAGTTATACGAGCCTACTTAAGATATCTTAGGTGATGGATCTTTGGGTTAAACTTTTATTTTGTGTTGCAGAGAGTGGATAATGTTCTCCAGTTCATTACAGATTTCACTGTAGATGTTGAAGGTGTTGGGAATGTATGCAGGTTAATTTTTTACCACCCTTTACAACTTTTTTCCGGTCATCTCCCTTATTACCTATCAATATTTCTTCCTTTTATCTTCCTTATTTTTATTTATCTGTATTTGATTTTTTTTTTCAGCTTTAGTGTCTTCGACTTTAGAAACCATGGAAATAGCAAATATGGTTCACCATTTAATACTCCACAAACCAGGAGGAGTTCCCAGGGGAAACTGGAAAAATCATTTCTGAGGTTTGTCCTGTCAACACCATATCTACATTTTCTTGGCTTAATTGCACTATTTGTTCCCCATGTATTGCACCTGCACCGTTTTGTTTACCCACGCTTCAATTAGGATCCCTAACATTTATACCTGTTTACATTGGCTTCAAATTAGGATGGGGTCCGTGTCAATGCCAGTGTTACACATGTGGGCTTTAATGGACTCTAGTGTAACACTGTGTAAGAGTATAAATATTGGCCACTGGCCAGTCTCAGTTTTCGTCATTATTACATCATTTAACCCTTGTTTAGTTCAAAAGAAGGATGTGAGGGGAAGATAGCCGAGGGGATGGGAGGAAACTGGAAGAGCTACAAGAATGATACATTCGGTAGTCGGTACACATTACTAATTTTATGAAAATTTGTAAAAAAGCATGGTTGGTACACTTTTTTGTTGTAATCAAAACCTTAATATATTGTAAATGTATAACATTAATAATTAATGTTATAGAAAGAAAATTTGAGAAAATTTCGACCTTGTCCTCCAGTCCAACAAAACAATGGTCTCGAGAATTTCAGCCCAGGTAAATTGCACTCAATTGGCAGCTGAGCCATTGAAGGGGAACCTTGGCGTATCGTGTGACTGAGAGGTCCTGGTGTTGTTGTGTGACCGAGAGATTATAGAAAGAAAATTTGAGAAAATTTCGACCTTGTCCTCCAGTCCAACAAAACAATGGTCTCGAGAATTTCAGCCCACGTAAATTGCACTCAATTAGCAGCTCAGCCATTGAAGGGGAACCTTGGCGTACCGTGTGACTGAGAGGTCCTGGTGTTGTTGTGTGACCGAGATATTATAGTTTCAAGTCTTGGAGCGACCTCTTGTCAGAATGACAAGGGAAGGCTTGCCCCTATACACCCTTATGGTGAGACCCTTCTCCAGACCCTAACCTTGCGGGGATGCTAATGTGCACCTGGCTGCCCCCGTTTTTAGGCAGTTCAGCCATTAACATTAGTATTGCAACTGTCCTCATTTGATTGCTTTTTCAGACTTCCAAACAAGGTCCCGAATGATTTCCGGAGGTGGCATGAATTTCATGAATAATGCAATTAAGGTTATTATTTTTATTACAAACTTGCCGCAATCATTTAATTGTTTGCAAAATATGCAGCTTTCACAATAGCTACCCTTCATTGGAACCTAATGCTGATGGGAAGCAATTCCTTTTGACATTGAGAGCCTTCAGAGAACAGAGATTGTATGGGCATGAAATGATGAGACGAGCTCCATATCCACCTATGAACTTTCGCCCACCATGGAATCTCAACTCGAGAGGCTCAAGTGACGACAGGAATGGCTACTTCCCCCCCACCAACAGCTTGGGGGATGGAAGATTTCCTTATATTCTTGACCATTATTACACATTATACACGGCTAATTCTCTGAGTGATGCCCAACCTGATCACTTTGATGTGGGGCCTGAAGATGCTTGGGCCCAGCCCGGTTATGCGCAAAACGAATTTGATGATAGGTCACGGAGTTACCTCTACACTTCAACATCGGCTCCTCTCATTCGGGAAAGTGTGCTTCTTCATCACCGTCATCATCATCAAGATGATGATGATGATGATGTGGAACCATCTGTTGCGAGACGGGACTGGTGGGCCAGGAGTAGACCACAAGTGCTGGGGCCACGGACAAGCTTTCTCGAACCTCCTACTTCTGAACGTGGCAGTGGCGGCCCTCAAACAAGCTTTTTGGAGCCACCTCCCACTTTCAACCATCCCAACCCTCACGATTATTATGAAAACTTCTCGGACAAAAGTGCAGAGGAGGATAAGCAGGAAAATCTGGATTTGAGGAGCGGATCAAATAGAGCGATGATGGGTACGTTCTTCATGGAAGAATCTGTTGGAGAATTCAATCTCCCCTTTGATGATATTTATAGAAGGCGTTTGGCAAGCCCGAGTCGAAGCATGGATCCAGCAGGTTTTGTGTGATGCCCTTCTCTTATTGTTTTGTCTAACAGAAAGTGTGCGATATGTTGTTCTTTATTGTACATAAACAAACACTAAAGTTAGTGTTGGGGGGAGGACTTGGGTATTGGTTCAGTCTGTCAATCCTTTTGCAAATGTAAAAACACATCCCTCCTATCAATAGATGGTTCTGTTCGTTAGTCCAAATTTTCTTCATATTAGTTGCTATACACCATACGCGGGGGTGGGGGTGGGGGTATTGGAATGACTACCTATAATGTCTTCTCACTTGACAAATATGTAATGTAATGGCATCATTTTCTTGGCAAAGCTTCTACCTGGCAGCTAGTGTAAATTTTCTATTCTATTGAGTACAAAAGTATATAGGATATCGTTGCTTTTGGGATGCACTTTTGCTTGGTTTGAAGTTCTTAGATGCCCTAAAATTGACTTTGAGGTCCATTTTACTCATTTTGATGTCATTAAAATTTGGGACATTTTTCAGTGCTAACCCAGTAGAGCTTGTGATGGATTGACCCACCGGCCAGATTGACCTGTGGCCCGCTCAATTTCTATCCGGTTCTTAAATCACAGATAGAAACTGCACACAGAAATATAGCACTGTTTGAATTTTTAAATGTCATGTAATGATAAATTATGCTCCCTCCATTACACAAACTCACAAAGCTTGGCGGTATTGACCTTTTTTCATCAATAATGATCAGGGATAGAATGATAGATCCACAATTTAAGATTCAACAAGAGGGCAAATCCTTTTTCATGAGTGTTAGGGCTCTCACCATGTTTTTTTATTAAAAAATCATTATTAGATACACAACGGTTAAATCTACTTCACTCTAAATTTACACAATGAAAAATGACTTTGATTTTATACGGGAAACGCTCTAGAAAAAAAGGTTTGATACATTAAAGTCTAATGAATGACAAATCAAAGAAAAATTATTTGATACTTCATACTTTTAAATTTGAAGATAATAAAATACAAAAGGTTAAAATTTTATCAAATTATTTGAAGATAAAGAGTGTAAAACTACACACCCATAGTACTTTTAAACATCTTATGTCTTGTTTAACTGCATTAATCTTATCAGAATAAAAAATTATTTTTTGAATTACACTTTTTTGTCTACTGTCAATGTTCGTAAGTCATAAGGAATCTTTTTAATATTACAATAATATATACCGAGTATGAGATTATTTAATTTTAGAATAATATTAAGTTGATGATTCACATAGATGGTGCAAATTATATTTATATAAATGCTAGAATAATTTAAATCTTATTACTTGTGCAATAAATTCTTTTAGAAAAACTAGAACTAAATAAATTGTTTACACTTCACACTACAAAAACTATTTAAGTAGTGTTTTTGGAATTTATTTTTGCTTGATGTTTTACAAAAATGAGTACTAATTATTTAATAAAGATAAATTAAACATTATAAAAGTAAGTTTTTTATAGAATAAGTATCCTAAGTCCTAAACTAACGATTTTTTTTATTGTTTGTCAGTTTATTATGTAATTGACAATTACTATTACTGCTGTTTTATTATACTACTCATTGATTGCTTGTTGCCAGTATCATGTTGCCCTCTGATTGGAGTCTCTATATGGTACATCCGGCTATACGACTTGCACCATACAACCAGTGACATTTTTCATAAATTATGGAAAACTCTCGATTTCTGTTAAATGAGTACTAATGCACTTTTAATGAGCATAAGATGAGAGAATTCCCTAAATAGGAGTAAAAAAGTTTTGAAATTCCAAAATATGACTATCATGTTTTTTATACCTTGAATAGGAATAAATTTCTATCAACTTTGGCATTACTAGGCTTTAAACATGACATTTTCTTCCAAACATGGCAGATTACTCATATTTAGGGAATAAAAAACATGATACTCCTATTTTGGAATTTCAAAACGTTTTTGCTCCTATTTAGGACAATTTCTAGCATAAGATCTATTCCGTTGAGTATTAGGATTCCAATATATATTGAGTGTCATAATTTCAGATTCATATTTTCTAATTCACTTTCTTTTTCTTATTTTTTCTTTTATAAAAACTTATTAAATTATATATATAACTTCTATGAATTTCAATATGCGAATCTAATGTAATATGATACTTTTGAAATATGCATTGATATGATATTTTAAAAATGAGCATAACAAAGGTATCAAATGAGCAAAAGCAACTTACAAAATGAGCATTAATATGAAAGTCGTAAGCTGTGTTAGTTGAACATCAAGACATTTTCGTTAAGCTTCAAACCTCCTCTATCACGTATTAGAATCATGCAATTAAGTATCATGTTTGCATTACAGACACGTGCTTTGCGTAGCATCCATGACAAAGCGACTGTTGTACTTGATGAGGCGGTAGATATACAGGGATATCATGACGCTTGTTCGGGCATTGTTGCTCTGTGCGCTGATGTATTGGGTCGAGTGAATTATGGATATATGGTCGACTCTCAGCATTCTACCGCATCTACATTCACAACAGGGTCTTCTCAGGCAGTCAGACGTGATAGAGTTGTTCTTTAGCTTCGTAACCAGCGCAGGCGCCGCCGAGCACAACCACAGCCACATGAACTTCATGATGATGATGATCACGTTGACTTATGATCTTTGTATTTATATTATTGTGTGAGAGTTGTAACATGCACTGGCAGATCAAATCATTTTGTGAAACACCAGATTTATTATAACTTTTATGTTTATTTCAAGTGTTGCAATGCAATGAGTTTCATTGATTCGTTTTGTGTTTCAGATGTATTTTGTCTTAGTAAATCATATATTTGGTTGTTTGTTTGAGTAGAATGGACTATGATGAGGACATTTCCTGCTAACTACAGGTTCATTTGGTTCATTTGTGTAATAAACAGTCCAGCATACTGCTTAACACAAGAGCCGCCACTTGGAGTGGCGGTTTTCCTTAACCGTGGTTAACCACAACAATATTTTGGGAATTATTATTAACCCGGCAGTATTTCGGGAATTATTTATTTAATTAGCATTATTCCAGGAAAAAACTCCAGTCAAACATCAAACATACATAAATTACCTTTCTGTTGACATGCCCAATTGAAAAATTAGTTGAGGACTTTCATGCGTTTAATGCACCAAATCCCTTCGTGATATATAAATTTGACGCATTAGTCAATATGATTTAAAAAATGCGACAAGCCTCCTTGTGTTATTATTATTCATGTGTGGAACCGCCTATATGAACAAATTTAATTGTCAAACAAATGGAAAGTGATCAATATATTTGCATAGTTTAGAAATCTTGACAAATTTACTTACATATTCAATAAAAATATTAGAACAAGTGATTTCAAAATTGTTAAATTTGTTCTTAAATGGGGTTTTGTGCATGGATAATTATAACACAGAGGGATTTGACACATTTATTAAATCATAGAGTTAATGCACCAAATTTATATACTACGTACGATAGTATATCACAAGAGGGTTTAGTGAAATAAACTCATATTTTGATAGCTGTTAGATTTTAGTACTGAAATACACAAAAAAATCTGTGTCCTTATAAAAAGTAACAATAAGGATCAAGTTTTGGGCAGATATAGTGTGATAGTTTTTTTAAGGAGCAACTTGTGTTGAAAGTTAGGATGTTTTTAATTAGACTAAAATTTTATGGTCTAGTTTTATTTAATCTGATCTGATCTATTCTACTTTAGCGTGAAACTGAAACAAATCCAAGTAAAAACATTCTTAAAAGTTCTAAGTGATGATGATATTTCAATTTGACCATTTTTTTATTTGAAATGGTATACGTTTGTGTGTGTGTGCATTTTTCCATTGTTCAAGTTCATATATTTATTTCATCAGTTAAAAGTTAGATGCATACAAAATTTCATCAAAAAATTCCACGAGAAACCAAACGGTTTGGCGACTTACCGTGACCATGGTTGAACCCGACAATATATGAGTAAATACTTTTAACCCAACATTATTTTCGTAATTAATTAGCATTAATTCGAAAAAAACTCAGTAAAAGAAGATTTGCAGCTTCCACTTTAAAACACTGAAAAGAGTTGGAGGGCGGGCCGACGGGCAGGGTGGGTAATAAATAAATAAATAAATTAATTAATTATATCGAAAACCATTGCCCTGGCCTGAAACGTAGCGTAAGATATATAGGGTGAGTTAGGCGTTTAGAGAGCAATCAAAATTGTAATGAAGAACGTTAACTGGAGCACCGTCAGTGAGGAGGTGTGTGAGAAGACCTGCCTTGGTTGCATCCAAGTAAGTGACTATCCATTTTAATATTTCGTTTTGGTGCGGCCCAAAATCCGCGCTATACCACTTCATTGTCCGGCTAAGGTACACAGTCCTCTTGCTCAGGTCCACCTGCATGGCATCATCCCTCCGGAAAAACTCCCTCGTCACATACTTTAGTTCAGATTCCACATTTTCGGGAGTGAAAAACTTTGCAGCTGGGCTTGATCTTGTTGCATTGCACACTCCAAAATGGATCAATGGATTCACTTTTGTAAGCGCCATCTGCTACAAACCAATTAAATTCAATGTATACCACTGTCACACTGGATGGCCTGCTTAATTGATAATAACATTTTTACAAAAATAGAAGGAATATAGCGTATGTTTTACCTCTAAACGCTTATCCCCATTGAAGAAAGGTTTTACCAAAGTAAAAGGTGCTCTTTTATTGCCTCTAAGAATCCCCTCTTTAATTGCAGATAGAGAATATGGATAGCCCCCAACTACGTACTGGAAGTCAGCAAAGAAGGCCCTCCTGTCAATCATGCCGCCAGGATGCCCAATCCTTATCACACCATGAATTGCCATGGCGTTGTACAAATTGAGAAATAAGGCTAGTAATTCATCTGCTGAAAGTGTCTCCAGATTCACTCTCTGGAGATTTTGAACCAAATTTATGTACCTGCATTTTAGATTCAAATACTTCAACGATTCTTTATGTATCTGTTAAGGAGCAAGAGATAAGTGGGCCCAAGCTTGGAGACAGGAAGGGGCCGGAGGGGGCCTCGGCCCCTGCAAGATATATTATGTATGAACACTTTTAATCTATAGAAAATATGTTGATATTTTAATCTTTGGCCCTGCAATGTAAATTTTTTAAGGGCCGGCCCCTTTAACCATAGATTTCTGGCTCCGCCACTGTGGGCCTGCTAAGTGGGCCTGCTTGGGAGCACCAGACAAGTGGGCCGGTGCTGCAGGAGGACGGGCCTCGCCCGTTATTAGTTTACCGTCGCCGCCAGCGGGCCTAGATGGGTTGGGTTGACTGCTGGGTCTTATGACTTTATTTCATTAATTGTTATTTCTAATAAACTGTTGGGCCTAGATGACCTTATTTTATTATTAGGTCAAGGAGTATTTAAGAATGTCTTAATAACTATTATCGTTAATAAACTTTTGGTTCAGCTTACGGTTGGGGCAGACGTTGTTATCGCTTGCTAGGTTTTCTGCTTCTATCAATTTGGTCTGACCTACCGGATCCTATCCACCGCCCTACGTTCATCATGACTCGTTCCACCATTGATCGACGCATGGATGCGATAGAAGCGGACCAGAAAGATATCAGGGCAGAAGTGCAATCCACCAACGCCAAGTTGGATGCTATCACACAAACCCTAGGCAAACTGGCGCAGAAGGTTATGGCATCGGGGGAACCGCTGGCTGATTCTGAGTCGGGAGGAGGAGGCACGGATGACTCTACTAGCGTTTGAGGGGGCAGACCCGATTGGGTGGCTCGCCAAGGCCAATCAGCAGTTTGAAATCCATCACACCTGACCTGAATTGAAGGTGGCGTCTACCATGGTTGCAATGGAGGGTCCTGCTCTGTATTGGTTCTCTTGGACACGTTCGCGGAAACCGAATATCACATGGGAGGAGTTTTCACAAACTCTTGTGGCCCGTTGTGATACACGGTTTAAGGGGAGCACATTCGAATGGTTGGCCGACATCAAGCAGACGGGGTCTCTGGATGATTATGTAAACGTGTTTGTTCAACTGGCCAGTGAGGTACCAGATTTGAGTGATGCCCACTACTTGGGGGTACTTCATGAAAGGGCTACGAGACACGATTCGTAGCTCCTTACGTCTTTTATGACCAACTGATCTGGAAGCCGCTATGGAGTTGGCCAAAGATGTCGAGGACAACTTGATTGTTCAGTCCGGAGGGAGAGTGGAACGGGGTTACAACAGTCAGCAGCACCGTTCCAGTAGTTACAGCAAGGCTGGCGGGTTTTTGGGGTCTTCTTCCACCCCGACGATTGGCAACCGGGGGTAGGGGAAGCACAACATCGTCACGAACTCCAAGTCATACGCCGGGAACCGGATCAGCAATGACGGGCCAATCTGTTAATCGTTCTCGGTTCACACGCCTCTCTCACCACCGGAGTTGGCATATGTGCGCGCAAAAGGGCTTTGTTTCCGTTGCAAGAAGGCCTACACCCCCGGGCATGAATGTCCGCTAAAACAGTTAAGAGTAATGGTCACCGAGGAAGATGAGGAACTCAACCTCAGCCAAACTGAATTTTTTATTCCACCCGAAGAGGTCGAGTAGCTAGGCGAACAGGAGGGACAACAGTCAGCAACTATGGACTTACCTGTATATTCCATGGCAGGGATTTCTAGTCCCCGTACTATGCGACTCAAAGGCGTAACCGAGGGGTTAACAGTGACCATCTTGGTGGATAGTGGTGCAAGTCACAACTTTATTTCAACAACCCTTGTTTCCCGACTCAAATTACGAGCAGAAAAGACGGGAAAATTTGGTGTACAGCTAAGGGATGGGCGTCTCCAAGAATCATAAGGGGTTTGCAAAGGGGTGTCAATCTCGCTGCAGGGGTGCCAAATCCAAGCAGATTGTTACGTGTTCCCGTTGGGAGGAGTGGATATTATACTGGGAGTAGCATGGCTAGCAACCTTGGGAGAGGTCCAGACCAACTAGGATACGATGACTATGTCCTTTGATTGACACGGCAGTTAGGTAAAACTGAAAGGGGACCCGACACTCTGCCGGAAACAGGTGGGACTGCAGGCCCTACTACAGACAAGGGATGTGGAATTTTGGGCAATTGTGATGGAGGGAGAGCCCACTACTATATTGAGGCCAAACGAGGAGCAAGTGGCTGATGTACTACTGGAGTTTGAGGAAGTATTTAGAGAGCCGAAGGACCTTCCCCCGCAACGACCTACAGACCACCGGATTGAGTTGGCACCCGGAGCTGCCCCGGTATCTGTCCGGCCATATAGGTATGGGCATAGTCAGAAAGATGAGATTGAAAACCTCGTGTCCGACATGCTAAGGGCAGGCATCACCAGACCAACTTCCAGCCCGTTCTCAAGCCCGGTTCTCTTAGTTAAAAAGAAAGATGACATCTGGCGATTCTGTGTTGACTATAGAGAATTAAATAAGGTGATTGTTCCAGACAAGTACCCGATTCCAGTCATCCAGGAGATGTTGGATGAATTAGCGGGAGCCGTAATTTTTTCAAAACTTGATCTCCGAGCAGGAGATGTTGGATGAATACGAGTGGCTGAACGAGATATTTCTAAAACGACTTTCCGTACTCATAGCGGCCACTACGAGTTTCTAGTGATGCCGTTTGGGTTAACGAACGCACCGGCCACCTTCCGGTCCACGACGAATGATCTGTTCAGGCTGTTCTTACGAAAATTTGTCTTGGTATTCTTCCATGATATCTTAATCTACAGTTGGACATTAGTTGAGCATCGTGTGCACTTAACACAGGTGCTGCACATTTTGCACCAGAATTAGTTCAAGGTCAACCGAAAGAAGTGTGTCTTTGGGGGGGGGGGTCCAAGGTAGAGTACCTTGGCCACATCATTTCAGCGGCAGGCGTGGAGATGGACCCTTCTAAAGTTCGAGCAGTAGTTGAGTGGCCACAACCGCGTTCTGTCCGGGATGTGCGCGGGTTTTTGGGGTTGGCGGGTTATTACCGTTGTTTTGTCAAAGATTATGGAATCATAGTGCGGCCTCTGACATCCTTATTAAAGAAAGACGCATCATCTAGATTTGAATGGAATAAAGAGGCAGTAGCTGCTTTCACTAGCTTGAAGAGCGCACTGACTGAAGCGCCAGTTTTGGCCATGCCGGATTTCAAGCGTAACTTTGTTATTGAGTGTGATGGTTCAGGTATGGGAGTAGGGGTAGTCTTGATGCAAGAAGGACGTCCGCTTGCTTATTTCAGCAAATCATTGGCTGATCGCACCCTTACCAAATCAGCCTATGAACGTGAATTAATGGGGTTGGTATTAGCAATCCAACATTGGCGGCCATATCTTGTGGGTCGTCGTTTTACCGTCTGCACCGATCACCACAGCCTCAAACATCTTCTCTCGCAGAAAATTGCGACTCCCTCACAGCAGAATTGGGTGGCTAAATTACTAGGGTATGACATCCAAATTGAGTATAAACCGGGAGTCTCCAATTCAGCGGTTGATGCACTATCTAGAAGGGCTGAGGAGGGGTTGCTGACAACACTGAGTGTGCCGGATTGGACAGGGATGCGGGAGGTGTTGGAGGAACAAGGGCGTGATGAGTTTATTCAAAGCATTGTGACTGCCTTGAAGACTGACCCGGACAGCCGGGTGGGGTTCGAAATAATTGAGGGCATGCTGTTTTTTAAAGGAAGGTTGGTGCTGGCAGCCACTTCTGAGTGGATTCCAAAATTATTGCAAGAATTTCATGACACACCGGAGGGGGGCCATGCGGGGGGCTCTCAGGACGTATCGGCGATTAGCAAGCAATGTGTGTTGGAAGGGCATGTTCCATCAGGTGCAGGAGTATGTGGCCTAATGTTTGGTCTGCCAGAAATCAAAATATGAAGCAATGTCGCCGACAGGATTACTACAACCGCTACCAATTCCAGACTTAGTTTGGGAGGACGTGGCCATGGATTTTATTACTTGTTTACCCAAATCTCAAGGATATACGAGTGTTATGGTGGTGGTGGATAGGCTGTCCAAATATGGGCATTTCATTGCATTAAAACCACCAATTACAGCTCGGTCTATGGCTTATATTTTTGTACGGGAGATTGTACGGTTGCATGGTATTCTGGGATCTATAGTCAGTGATAGGGACTCACTATTCGTTAGTACCTTTTGGAAAGAAGTGTTCAAGCAGTCGGGCACTCACTTGAAGTACAGCTCCGCATACCATCCTGAAACGGATAGCCAAACGGAAGTGCTGAATCGTGTATTGGAGACATATCTTCGTTGTTTTACGTGTGACCAGCCGAAGAAGTGGCTTCGTTGGTTACCTTGGGCAGAATATTGGTACAATACCGCTTACCAATCTGCAGCCGGAATGACCCCTTTCGAAGTGGTGTATGGAAGGCCACCTCCATCTTTACGGCGAATCTTGTCGGGTGAGTGTCGAGTAGCGGCTGTGGCAGATTTTCTGGGGGGTCGGGACGAGTTGTTGCGACGTTTGCGAGGTAACCTGGAAAAGGCGCAACAACAAATGGTTAAGCATGTAAATAAGCGAAGGGGGGATGTGGTGTTTGAGGTTGGGGACCGTGTTTTCCTGAAAGTACGACAGTATCGGCAGAATTCTCTAGCGCGCCAATCTCATCACAAACTCTCAGCCAAGTTCTCTGGTCCATTTTTGGTTGAAGGACGTGTGGGCCCAACGGCCTACCGGTTGTCGCTTCCAGCAACCAACCGAATCCACCCTGTTTTCCATGTGTCGCAACTACACCGGGTTGTTGGAGATCATCCCATTGAAACAGAACTACCGGAGAGTTTGGAGGTACCTATGGGACCAGTGTTTGAACCTGCTACTGTTTTGGCATGGCGTAAGGTGCAGGAAAAAGGGGAAGATGTGGAGCAGGTGTTGGTGCAGTGGGTTGGTCAATCGGAAGATGACGCTACTTGGGTTGGAGTGCAGCA